CCCCAAAACCCCAAAACCCCAAAACCCCAAAACCCCGTGGCTATAAATAATGATAACAAGGTTCAAATACTAATAATAAATAATATAATGAGTTCCAACAGAAGCTATTTCTCACTCTGCGACATCAACGATCCTTCTTATCTCTATTCTGGGAGCGTGTTTGCCAGCATTACTCATGCTAAATCTGAAGATGTAAGTTCATGATAATTCAGACTAGATTATTAGTTCTCGTATAAGAGTTAGACTTCCAGTAAAGATTTAGATAGAGTGTTAATCATTTTCTTTTTGATTTCTTTATCAAAGCTAACACTCAATTTAGATGCTCTCAAATTTTAACTTCTGAGAGGCTTATCCAGAACTTCAAGTAAATCAACTTTACCAGAACTGTACTTATTCAGACCAAAAGATGATTAACAAGGTTTGTGAGATTCCTCAATCTGTTGATTCAAACAAGCTTAGAACTAAAAATATTAGAATCGATGATTCCCAGATTCCTTCTAGAGGTGAGACCAAATCGTGCTGAACTCCCACTATACCAAACAAGTCTTCTCGAAGCATGAAGGCTTCTAAAAGAAGAGACGTTGCTTATAAGTCAGCAATCAGGCTTCTCAGAAGGTTCTTCAAAAATACTTTTAAACAGAAAAATAAAGATATTGTAAAGAGAAGATATTATAACTGCACAATGGAGTACATTTATGCGAGAGTCTACGACATGCTGGAGGAGTTAATTCCTCAAGAGGATCTAACTAAAGAGCTTGTCTACTATACCATTGGCATAATCGATATTAGAAAGGACTCTGAATCATCATACAGTAATGCTATCAAAAGGCAGATTACAGCCCTCAAGGATTGAAGACAACAGTTCTCCAGGAGCAGATTCAATAAGGCTTTTATGTCTAAGAGCCTGAGAGCCCTAGCAAGGTGTCTGGTTCAGAATCATGGCGATCCCAGAGTGAGTATCTTCAAAGAAGAATTGATTTAAGCGTGAAATCTATTTAAACTGCTGAAGATGAGCTTATCAAATTACTGAATACCTCTAAATCTTCTGAGGCATAAAACTACCTCGGTTATTTAGGGTTTGTCATGGTTTGCTCTCTATACTTACGATGCTCATTTATTAAAGTATTACTAAACTTAAACTAAAACTTTAAATCTATTTTCTTTCTAATTAGTGTAAGGGACCTGTTAATGATTAACAAGGACTAGCATCCCCAATGATGTCGTTTGCCTGAAACATTGGGATTACTCTCTATTGTATGTGTTTTGGGTTGAAGAGATTCATTGTAATATTGTCTTGTTCCCACCGTGGCCATTATTGCAAATTATCCAGTAAACCTTAACCGGGAATTTTAAACCAAGATATTCTGCCAGGATTCTTGTAAAAACTCAAGATCCCTCTTTATAGTTGTCGAATGAGCATGCTGAAACATTTTATGCATCATTCTGTACCTTCTCTTGAGAACTTTAATATTAAAAATATTAATAATACGAATCTTTCATAAAGGACATCGTTATTTAGTTTTACTGCCACAACTAATAATGGGATATGATCGATCGTCTGTAAAATATGGATGTTCGCAAACCTATCTCTTGATAAGATATCATGAGGTTTGCCAAATAAATAAGCATTTCAGTACACCAGTGCATAATAAAATTTCTTGAAATAATAGTAAAAAATTAATGGAATTATTATGTTAAGATCATTAAATTTGGGTGATGAAGTATTTAAGTCTGGCATAATTCCTCTTAAATAACATATTAGAGGGATTTGGATAGTTCTGATACCTTCTCTGATGTCAAATATATCTTAATAAGACTTGCATGTTGATATGCTGTAATCACCTTCTTCAATAAGTAGGTTTTTATGCTAACATCAAGCTGAACCTTTGTAAATTATTAGAAGAAATTTGAAGGTCACCAAAATATGTTTATATGCGGCATATCAAGAGAAGGTCCACTCATTAAGCTATATTATTTCTTTAAGAGCATTATATCCCCTAGTGATTTGCAATAAGCTTGTCTGAAGCTAAAATTTCCAAATTCTTTGAGAGAAGACTCTAAAATAACAAGTATTTCTTTGAGTAATAGCATAACACTGTTTGTAGCTTTGGAGTATAGCTCTCTAAACTTTCAATCCATAGTGCTGGCTATGAGGCTGGTGTAATCCCTATTACTTGGAATAAATGATGCTCAAGATGCGATCTGCATGAATTCTTTTGTACTTTTAAAGTTTTAACTAGCATTAACTATTCCAATGCTCTCTGGTATTTTCAGAGTTGCCAAAATTGAGATATTTCTATACTTCTGATATTTTATGTTTCATACAGAAAGTTATAAGAGTTAGCAATCAGTTTGTGTTGTTATTTCAGACATGGCGCCAATTTCAAGTCTCTTTATTAAATGTTAGAGTAAGTCCAACTGTAAGAGAACCTCAACTAGATTTGTTGTTAAAAGGAAGAACTATGAATACGATTTTACATTACTGAAGCTTCTAATATGCAATTTTATGGCATGATGTCCCTATCAATTTGGCTAGATTTTAGGGATGAATGTTTAAACCTATTCTTCTGCTGAAATAACGTGTTATGATAATTTCTTATTTTGACAATAGTCAGTATTAACTCTCAACCAATATTTTGTCATTTCCAATTACCTCTCTAGCACATGGTTTATTCTCGGTTCTGTTTTCAATCTGCTCGCATTAGGCTGGGGTTTTGGGGTTTTGGGGTTTTGGGGAG